GTACAAGACGCGCCGTTTCCTGGCTCCCAGGCTATTCACGGCGGCCTCCGTTTTTCTGATTCGACGAATACCGTCCGCACCGCGTGTATAGCGGTTTGGGAAAAATTTCAATTGCGCCTTGCGCCTTTGAAAGGAATTTTAATTCGAATGGTCGCCGGACAATATCAGCCGGAATTAAAATTCCGCCCGCGTGGACGCGACACCGGCACAGCACTCGGACGACTCGCGAAAGTTTTCACGCGGTCGAGCAAACTTACCCTTCGCGCGAGGGTCGCCAAGTTACCCGCGAATCATGCGTGTTTCGAGTTCCTGGCGCACTTCTTCGACCGCGTTTCGTTGTTCACGCGACACCGTAAATAGGGAACAAAGCCCGCTTCGTTTTACCTGGCAAGCTCGTCTCGATGCGCGTACAGACTCTCGCGGAGAGCTCGTAGCTTCCCGTAACGATTACTCTACCGCTCGTCTCAGCCGACCGTTCTCCGACATGGACGCTGCGCGCTGCGACAATCATCTTGCTCGACCAACTTTATTTTCTACTTCCGTTCCCGTCAAGTGCTGTTAACTCGTGCTAAACGAACGCCATGTCACGAATATCCAATTACTCCACGACACGTTGATCTTACGCGACGATGGGTGCAGCGGTCGAAAATACTCATGGAAACGACTCGCGTCTGACTCTCCGAGGTAGGAAAACAACCAAGAAACGACATTCGTCTTTGGACAAAGTTCGTTTCTTTCGCATTCGTTGTCACGCTTATTTTGGGAGACCCGTCGAGTCCGTTGTCTGTTTTCGTAACTCTGCATTCCCGACGTGGAAGCACCGGGAAGAGTTGCTACCTGTTTTCGGCGGGGCAACGGCGTTCGTCAACGAAGACACGGCGAAACGATCGCGCGTGTGGTCCTCGGTTTGCCCCGTTCACGCTTCATCCGACCAGCATCCAGGCCAGATCGCGGTCGAGATCTTGCGTTGTCCGCCTCAACTGCGTTCTTCTACTACCACCCCGACCTACCTCGTTCCTGTCCGTCGTGTTGCGCGTCGCGAAAGCACCGAAAAACGCAATCTCGGGCGAGGACAACGAGAACGGGAGCAGAAGGTGGACAAAGCGTTCGCCTGTTATTTCATTAGCGTCGAGCGTATCCTTCTCTCCGCGCTTCGAAGGACGCGTCGTCTTTGGGCACGCTTAGCCATTGATCTCGAGACTACCATTCCGGATGATCAAGGACAGCACGAGAGACGAAGACAATAGGAAAGGGAACTCGGAACGACAAAGATTGCCTCCTTTGTTGCTCCCTTCCACGCGAGGATCGTTGCGGAGGATCGTCGCGGAGGATCGTTGCGGGTGATCGTTGCAGGGGATCGCGGTGGAAGAGCGAGAAGGAGTAATTGGAGAAAGGAGAGAACGAAAACATGTAGGGGTGGACGGAAGAGGGATAAGCAAGGCGAAATGACGGATTCGAAGGAGCAAGCGGAGCAGAAGATAGAGGGGTGTGGAGGAGAGAGAGGGAGAGAGAAAGAGAGAGAGCGAGGTGAAGCAAGGCGAGCCGGTGATCGTAGTGGGATCGACAAAGCTACCTGGATCCACGACGGCCACTTTCGACGGCAGTAACCACGAAGACGCCATGACGACACAATCACCCACATCGTCCTCGACTCGGCTCTCCGCTATTGGTCTAGTCGCAGCGATTTATCTTCTTCTGGCGACACGTGAGTTTACCCGGCTATAATTGCCTCGAAATTTCGTAGCCATGCTATTATCTCAGAGCTCGTCGAACGATTCGACTCTCCAAGTGACACGTCGAGTGCCGAAAGAATCCCCGATAGGAAATTCGAGTCCTGCTCGCGAATCGCTCGGTCGCCAACTCAGTCGCCGCGGAATCCTTCGCGTTGCCACTTTGCACGGTATTCCGGACATACTTGCAGCATGATACGTTATTACCAAAGTTCGTGGCTCGAATTGTTCGCGAGGAAGCGTATTTTGTCGAGGATGTGCCTATATCGTGGAAGCAACGCGGCAAACACCCTCCGCCCGACGTCGTCTCCCTCTCGTTTCGGCTAAACTGAAAATCGTCAAAAGCTGCAACGCGTTACGAAATCGCTAGGGCGGTACCTCCGCGTTTCTCTCTCTTGATATACAGAGTAAGCTGTAAAGGTGTTGGCGAAAGCCATTCAGCCGAAACATCGCTCGCCAAGTGTCGGCCGTGATTGCGTGCGCGGAACAAAGTACACCGTGTCGAACGTGCACCGTTCACGCGCGTCAATGGGAAATTGCGTCAGAGTTTCTGCACTCGCGATATTTAACGGCGAATCGAATGCTGACAATACGCGATTACGGGTCATACAACGGAACCGATGACGTTCGGTTGCCGATCATCGGAACCGATAGAGAGAGAAAGAGAGAGAAAGAGAGAGAGAGAGATATGGAAAGAAAACGGATCGACGCGTGAAAAGATCTCGAGTCGGACCAATTACCAAACGATTGCTCCGGTCGGTAGTACTCCAAGTTAATTAACGCTGCGGACTCGACGGGGCTCGTTTCAACGTCAGCGTCTCGATTTGCCGGTCTGTTTCACGGCATCTGCGTGACTTTCGCGTTCCACGCTTTTCCTCCGGCAATCGGCCGGTCGAGAGGAGAAAGAGATTCCCGATGGGAAAGAAAGAGAAGAAAAACGCGCATGCGGTATCGCGGTCGTTGCTATTCCGCGAAGAAACTGCCGCCCGTTTTCCGCTCGAGATCTCGCGACACTCGACTTGCGAAAGTGCTACGGCTATACGCGGAACACGCTAGCCGTGATATCGTAATTTAGTTCACCTTGTTTCCATTTTATTTCCCGTGCCGGTTCGTGCCGGCCAGGGCGTCCAATTCAATCGGCCCCGATCGATTTATCGGATTTACCGACAGATCTATTTTCGTTGGAGGTATACGCGCACGCCGGCAAACTTCCCGACGTACCCGTGTCTCACGGTTGTATACCGAACGAAAATACCCTTCCAGATTCCCTTGGCAAACATCCCCGTTATCCTCTCCACGCATCTAATCGAGGACTGCCACGATGCCCGGTTAATCCGACACTCGGACGATCTTTCCTCTTTGCCATCTATTCCAGCTTCGGTCCAGTGGTCACGCGTAAGGGACGCAGAGGATTCCCGCGACTCGCGAACCTTAATCTAGATCCCGTGCAAATAGGCAAACGCCTTGTTTACGAGCTACGCTTCGATACCGATCCGGCTCTACGGTGAACGCGAGAAGCTGTTCCAGCTGCTCGATCATCCCTTTAACCTTCTCCGACGAAATTTCTTTCCATCCCCGTCGCACTCGTCGCGGGTCTCGTTTTCGAGTTTGACCGACGTTTAGGAACCGCGAATCCCGGCGCAAAGTTCCGATCGGCGGAACTACTGGAACAGGCCGATTTATCGCCGAGTCAGATGGAACGAAAGCGTTCCCGTCTTTGATTCGACACCGAATTGATCGCGACAATGCTCGAGACCTCTCGTTGTAGCCACGGCTGATACTCGAGGCGTGGGAAAATAAAGGAGAGTTTCGAGTTCCGTGTGTTTCCCGCGCGAAGCACAGAGGGAAATTGCTAGTTCTCTTGTATAATTCCAACTGCCGTGAGCGAACGGGTATGGCACGGAGAAGCGAATAAATGGGATTTATCGGAAACAGACGTATCCCGATATCCCGGGTGAATATGCAAAATTGGATGTTCCGATCGAAGGGCGCGATGTAGGTAGGAAAGGAGGGAAATGCCGCGACAAGCGCGTCTATCCGGATGAGATTTCGCTTAGTTTCCAAAACGCTCCGTTTCTCTCTAACGCCGTGAATCTACCGGTATCTACTGGTTGTTGCGACAGCGACTCGAGAGTCGTATTATGCAGAGGCAGGCAATTACGCTTGTCCGCCTTCTGCTTTCTCTTTCGTATGAAAATGTCAAAGGTCCGATATGTATCTCTCTCTCCTCGCTCGCTCTCTCTCTCTCTCTCTCTCTCTCTCTCTCTCTCTCTCTCTCCCTCTTTTCCCTTTTCTTTTTTTCCCACATCTTAAACCAATCTCGTTGACCCAAATTCGCAGCCAAGATCTATCAGAGACGCGGTGCGTTTCGCGCTTTGATCGGTCTAAAGTATTAATCTCTCGCTCTTTCTCCATCCACTCTCTTCTGCTCGCGGTTTGTCCGCGCTTTTTACCGCTCCCGCGGCTCCAGCGAATCGCGGACCACGCTCGTAATAATTTAATCACGTTCCACCCCGTCGTTACCGCGACAATAATTACGCACTAATGGCTCGCGGCCGGAACGACGTAATGCATCCTCTCACGGCTCGAAAGCGACACTGCTTTGACGCTTCGGCTTCTCATTAGCGATTGATACCGAAGTCTATGCGACTACGCCCTAGATTCAGCAACGATATAGTCCCAACCCGACTCGATCCATCCTCGTCCTTCCCGAAACGTTGCCTCGGAACGGCACGGAAGGCGTACTCGATCACCGAGAGCGCGCGCTCTTCGTTCCACGCGTATTATCCACGCGGACCAAGATCTCCGGGTTTTAACGCCGATATCCCGTTACCAGTCTTTCGGATACCAGTTTTGAATCTGGTCGGTCGCGAATGGACGCCGGCCGAATTAATTAAAAACACGGACGGAAGAGATAGGATTCATGGGAGCGCGCGGATGGAAATAATAAGGGCAAAGCGGAGAGGAACGGAAAGCTCCATCGATCAACCGGCAGGTTGATTAGAGGAGCGGCAATAGTCGCGTTCTCCAAAGAGAATCAACGAGCTCCGCGTGCAATTCTCGTTACGCGTGTTTACGTCGGCAGATCGGCCCGCTCGATCAATGACAAGACTTGGCTCGAAGATTACACGTCGCGACTTAATAGCCAGAGCAGAGCAGAGCATTCGTGCGCCGATGGAAAGCGAATTTCCACCGTCCGTCACGGACGAGATAAACAAACGGCGAAATACTTTCGACTCGCTCGCTCGAACAGCGAATGCTCCCGGTGTCCTAACGAGCATCGTTACGTTTCCCGATCCATTGGCGCTGGTCGAGTGGCACGAAACGCTGCAAAGAGCCTGGACGCTGTCCACCTTATCCAGATGCATAAACGAGCCACGATCGTTCCGCTCGTGGAGCGTAACGACGTATTTTTCTTCAATTATCAAATACCAGGTGGTGGAAGAAAATGGCACGAGCGACAGTTCCTTCGTCCCATACGTTACATCACCGATTACCAGCGACAGTTAACGGCACCGCGAAACGTCGCACACGGATCATTCCCGAGACGTATCTAATTTTCCTCCGGGTCGCCGCGATTTTTCCCATGTTTCCGATTCGTCCGCGTTCAGGATGATCGGAACGGCGGCGTTTACAACGCAGCCGTGAACGTCGCGATTCAGGATTTATGCCCGAGCATGCGTCAATCTCGTCGGATGGACGATATCCTGTCCGGCCGAGAGAGCGGTAACGGTACGCGCTCGATCAAAGGGTTAGACCCGAGATCGATCGTCGACCGGTTCCACGATTCGTTAGCATCTAACGAACGGTCCACGCCACTGGGATTGGCCTTGACGTTCGATACGCCTAGCCGCGGCATATTTACGCGAGTGTTAACCCTGATTTCCTCTCGGCCCATTCTCTCGTCTGTTCACGGTTAATCGGCATAGACGGACGAATTAAAACCCGGAGGCCCTCTTACGGGTAAATAGGGCGGACGCAGCCACGCATCCGCCGTGAAAATCATCCATCTTTCCACGTCGAGGTATTTCAGCCGAGCCCTCCTCACCCTCTCCACTCGCCGCGAGTCATAGGCAGCGAGTTAGAAACGCGAGATTCGAACAGATGACTAACATTCCGTGATCTCGTGCGACACGATCTGCCCCACATGCCGCGCCGCTGCCAAGGCCCAACAAGCATCCGTGGAACTCGCTTTTGCATACCCTCGCGATACGTAACGATCTGCCCTTGCGCGACCTACCGGGATCGATCTTCGACCATGCATCGACGTCGAAGGTACCCTTCAACATCCATCGATTCCCGACCAATCGGTAACCCGCCTGCGGTCGCAATTTTTTTAGCCGAACTAGCCCCCTTTACTTAAAAACGCGTCCCTACGTTATTTCCAAATCGACCCAGTCCCGATAGTCCCATCGACCATCGAGCACGCAACGAATGTCTGCTTCGTTTCCAAATATTCGCTTCGGGATTAACCCAGCCGCTCGTTCTCGACGCCCACCCTGACGTCCGCTCGACTTGACCCCAGCTGATTAATTAAATTCGATTTTGTTTACAGAGGTATGCGGCGCAGCTTATTACGGAAAGCTTATCGGCAAGCTGTCGGAACTTCATCACGGCGTGAGCGGTGAAGTTTACGCGGTGGACGGCCGAACTCTGTTCGTCAAGGACTTCACGTACGACGGCGAAGCACCAAGTTCGTAACCAAGAAGCGCGTCGAAGCTACGGCTCGCGCGGAACTTTCCCATTTCGGTGCACCCGTCGATCAAGTCGGCTTGTCGGCTTTTCGCGGAAAAGAGTGAGCGTACTCGTCGGAAGAAGCGACTCCCGACATTTCGCCATTCCTAAACCCCAAACTACCGCGGCTATCGCTCCTAGAGATCCCGGTTTCTCACCCACCGACGATGGACACGTCCCGAGCCGACCCGCTGGTCCTACATCGGCCATTCGACAGCCAAGTGGAGGAGCAAATGTTCCAGGAATCCCTTTTCCACGTTTCTTCCATCGTTCCTCGTTCTCTTTACCCGCGACGTGCCATGATCGTTCACGACGAATTCATTCCTCCCTTTCACTATGCTTTTCGTTACCTCGAGTCCACCTTCGATCTTTCGTGCCCCCATACCTGCGACTTTTCCATCCATCTGTCTAGGAGAGTCCTCGATAGAAACGGCCGATGGATAGAAACGGAGTAAAAGAAATTAACGTTGGAACGATCGATGGCCGAATCGATTCTCGCGAAGGATATCGGTGCTCGAGCTCAAAGTTAAGTTAACCACGGCCGTAAAAGGTACTCCTACTTCTCCCTTTCGACTCGTACGCTACTCTCACTTTTCTACATGCCGCGGCTCGATAAAATCGAAAGCGTTCGCTCGGTTCGTGAAGGTCGCTCTCCTACGCGACGCGTGTTCTCCAGGACGCTTTTCAACGCTCCGGAATACGAGCGGAAAGAAAACGTCGGGTAGCCGGCTGCCGCATGATCGACCGAGTGCTAGAAATTAAGTAATCACCGATAACTCGCTGCAATCAACGAAACCTGCAATTATAATTATCTCCTTTCAGGTGCCTACTTTTACGTCGGTAATTCGAAGAGCCCGAATGCGAACGGAATCAGGGTTCGGGACGAGACTGGATCGTGAGTGCTCTCCGCGTGTATCTTTATTAGCTGTATTATACACAGGGTGCTCGAAAATTTTCACCGTCAATCGTCCCTCTCGCGAACGCACTTTGCGTTCGTTTACCTTTCGGATTTGTTTATTTACGTTTCCACTGTGTCCATTTGTTTTCTCGCTTCGCGTGTTTACCCTGTCCACTTTGAACGTTTACATTTTTCATCCGTCCGTTTATCCACCGTCCCTTATCCGCCGGTGAAGCTTTATCAGAGTGGAAGCGTAATGCACCCGACCCGCGGCTCCCTCGCGGTGTAGCCGATAAATCACATGGATCAGAGAATTTCCGTTGGTTTCCGATAGATCGGACATGCTGAAGCGGTATCGGAGGAAGGACATCACGCTGACGCTACCCGAGGGCAAGACGTTAGGCAACATCAAATGGTTCTTCGTGTGGTGCGACGACTTCTCCGTGAGTCAGAAACGTATCATGCTCGTGACCTTCGGTGTCGTTTCGATTCCACTTGCACGGTACAGAAACCGGTATCGTTTCTTTGCCGTGCAACTTTCACGCTCGCAGTTTGTTACCACGCGTGCCTTCACGGCCAACGAATGGAAAGCAATTGCTACGGTTGGCTCCGAGCCATACGAACAACTGGCCGGACCCCCGCCGGAGTATTGCTCTCGATCGTCTCGCGGCCGTGTTCCCGAATGCAAACGAGCAATCGAAAATCCGATTACGATCTCGAGGATTGAAACTCGCGGCAACTAGCGCCAAGGCTTTATCGGCTAATTCGACGGAACCGTCTCGATTGCATCTTTTCCGGCGCGATTACGTATCGAACGAGCAGTTTAACCAAAGGCACTGCTCGTTCCGCGCCACCGTTTATCCGCCGCACAGTCCGCACAGACCGCCGTCGATTTACGTCCTCGATATTGCCAACGCGACGAAAATTTATTCCGAGCCGCGGTGTCCGACACGCGGCAGCAGATACCGCGCGCGTGTACCTCCGAAATGATAAAGCTCGATCGGGACGGAACGAGAGCGCAACGGTGGAATTTCCATTACGCGAGCGGGCATGGAAAACGATAAAATGGAATCTGTTCGCGGCATTATTTCCGAGGCTTATGAATTCTACATTCGGCATAAACGACGTACCGCGTGGTCCGGTTGTTTCCGTCGCGTTACGTTTCAAACGCGTCAGACCCCGTTTCCCCGCGGGTCAAAGGTCGCGGCCGATTAACCTTTCTTCCAAACGTATGCTTTTCAGGTGAACTTTGGGGACGTCAGAATACCACGAGGTTTCGATTACCCGAAACCGCAAAAATTGGCAGCGCTCAACGGTGTACACGCGGTCAGTTCCGAACCGATCGTCGCGGTCGATGCCCAAACCCTATTGATACCTAGCTTCAGCTACGACGGCGAGGCGCCCGGTGAGTATCCGAGTTTCTCCATCCATCGAGAGGATCTCTGTTCGAGATTTGCGAACGGCATCCGTGTACGGTGGTATTTTTTCGCAGACGCGAAATTTTGGGTGGGTGCCGGACCAACGCCATCGCCGCAAGGTGTCCGCGTGCCCGACGAGAACGGAATTGTGCGGCCGCTGCGTATGTACGATCGCAAAACCATCGTGCTCACGTTGCCCGGGGATCTAACGATCCACCAGATCGGCCACTTCGGCGTCTGGTGCGAGGCGTTCGCCGTGGACTTTGGCCATATACAAATTCCGCAGGGTCTTAACGTGCCACCGTCCCTGAAGATGCTCGGAGTTTCGCCGCAGGTAAGCTGGAAAGGCTTCTTGTAGTCGACGCCTCGATGCAAGAAGAGACGCCCGCTTGGATCTTTTAAACGCGATGCCCCTTTGCTAAACCGACCAACTTGCGACGAACTTTGGGATCGAGTAACGAGTTAATTAAAACGTACGCGAACTTTAGGGGAGTACTTTTTCATCGACTCGTCTCGGTCTCCGTAGCCTAGCCGCGCGACAGGCCGTCTCGTTCCGGCGGAGGAGGTGCGACTCTCGAACGATGCGACATCGTGCAAACTGCAAATGCCAATCACGTTCGAACTGGCGGGAGGAAAGGGATTCGAACAGACTTTTACCCGTTCACGATCGATTTACATCGTCTTTAGCCGATTCGATGCTCTCGCGTCACGTCTCGTAAGTTTCCCTCGGTCGAATCAAACTTCCAGGTACTTTCATATTCAGTCGGCATTTCGCGAGCAGATTATGCCCAAATGTCTCGTAATCGAACGCATTTCGCTCTTATCTCGAGTTCTTTTATTTCTTTTATTTCTTTTATTTCGAGGAACGATCCTCGGCTATCGCTAACGGAATTTTTCATCGTCGCGGATTAAGGAAAACCCTCGGGCGCGTGTACTTGCTTCACTCGACAACGGGTGAACAATCGTTGCCCGCCATCGCGTTCCAACGACCAATGTTTCGCGTTTTCGCATAGAGTCGATCGCGTAAACGCAGTCGAATGTGCAGAAACAAACGAGCCTTTCACGGGAACAATCGATACAGACTCGGTATTGTTCCACGGTGAATTTGTCTCTGTCAATATTTGAGTGGATATCTGGCTGTCAGCGGACGTCGCCAGGTCGACAATGCGTACACCGATTTACGGATTTTCCAAGCGAACATCCTCGTTCTACGTCCACGACTCGTACCCCCCCGTCCTCTGCTTTGGCACCGTTTCGCCGTTCCAAAAAATCCTAGACGCCGTAGCAAATCGTGCTCCTCGCTAACGTAGATAGTCTCCGGTGTCGAATGGTGTCTCGATAATTCCATCCTCGATCGCGAGTCGACTCGTTTCTCTCGTTCGAGATGTGAGACGACGAATCGTCGAGACTCCAAAAGACATCCTTCGAAAGAAGGAAAATTTCTTCGCTTGCAAGACCTATGCATAACATCCTGTCTCTGTCCTTGTGTTGCAGAACGTGCATCGCGGAGGGCAGGGACAGACGCTCGGTCTGGTAAATCCGTACGAGCTGTCCACTTCGACGTCGTCGTCGTCGTCGTCACAGGCTTCTCCGTCTCCTACTCTTTCCTCCGCGAGCGCGTTGCTTACTCAGCAGCAATACCAACGACCGACAACGTACCGGCCGATCCTCCGCCGAGAAGATCAGGTCCAAGTGGTCCAGGCGATCGACTATGAAATACCAAAGAGCTTGCAGACCCAGGAACCGCTCGCGCAGCAGCTTCATCGACTGCAGTCTGCCTCTTATCCGACACCGAGCGGAAGATCGGCCGCGATTGCCCAGTACGGCGACGACGTCGCGAATCTTGACGATGCCACGTATCAGCAACGGTTTAGATCCGAAGACGGTGGTCTGCCTTCCGTCGAAAAAGCCGCACCGCTGCCAGCCCAACGATCGAGATCGCGTAGCCGTTTAACTAGCGAACCTCAGTCAAACTCTTACGCGAGACAGTCGCGGTTCTAGGGTGACAGAAGAGCAGACCCTTTCGTTCGTTATTGGCCGACATAACTAACGTTCCACGACGTCCGCTGCTGTTGGACAGCTCGAAGACTCCTTCTGCGGGGATATGCTCGTGTTTCCCTTTAAGGGAAGACCGGTCGAACTCCGCGATGGAAATCCTCGAACTGTCTTCGCTTCCTTAGTCGATTAGTCGTTTACTCGAAGAAGCTTCGATCGATGAGATTCGATCTACGAGATACTCGTCTAGGCCACGCCGCGAAATCGTCCGATCCGATACCTTTCGTATCTCGGGACAGGGGAATCGCGAACGATTTATCGTGCGCGCGGTAAACCAATCGTAAATCAGACCACGGGCACCTAACGGAACTCGGTCAAACTCGCGTTTCGACAAATTAGCGAAAGTTCTGTAAGCCGGCCGCCACGTTTACCAACGATCATTCCTTTCGTTCCATCGTGGAAAGCTCAGGTGGCACAGCTGCGATAATATTAGCCGGGGCCTCATTCGTAAAGTTCCACAGTCGCGTACAGCCACTTTGGAAGTTTCACGGCTGAGAGAGAAAGAGAGACACGAGACGGTGACTCTCTGCCTTCTTCGTTATTTATTTAACAACACGCGCCGGCGATCTATTAGACGGGGAATCTCTGAACATCGGTTTACGCTTTGTACAGCTACTCGTACACGTACACGCGCTTGCGGAGCACACCTTTGCAAACACTTGCACGGTCGGAAGCATCTCGTAGATCGGCGCAACGCTTGTACAGGGTGAATCGTTTCGGAACGCGATTAGCAGGAATTTTATTCGTGCGTATCGTTCCGAGAACCTTCCGGGAGAAAAACACGAGTGTGTTGGAGTTACGCGGGTTATCTCGTGACCCGATCGAAGGAGAAACCTTTTCGCGACGTTCCAACGATACAGAGTCAGTTGTACCCCGATCGAACGTTCGTTAATTGAAAATAAATTCGCACTCTGTACGAGTGTAACGTAAAGTAGACGCAATCTATGCAGGCGTAAAACGTCCCACGGACACATACCTACCAGACACGCCTTTAATCTCTCGAATCCCCTTTAGAATTCTATTCTAAGAGACGTACGATCTCGCCCCCGTAGGAGTGGATGCGTCGCATGTTCTCCTCGAACAATACGAGTCGCCATAATTCACGCTGTGCCGTCTCTCTCCGAGTCCGTATGAAACATGTGTCGATATTAGTGACGCTTGGATATCGGTTTGTCTCTCGGCTCATCTGCGTGCGCTCCACCGACATTACGTAAACGCGTGGGGACCGTTCGAAGAAAATTCACCGTTTTCGCTGCTTTCGAACGAGCAGTCGAGGCTACGGAATTTTATCCTCACCCCTAACCCTTTCGTGCGTTGCGTACAACACCGCGGGAAAGACGAGAAAGAACATGCTACTTGCGATAAGACATAAGCTTGCGAATGAATGGCGTGAGATTGTAAGTTTGCTCGTCGTGTTTCCAACTTCAAAGTATCATTGATTTAAGGTATAAGTGTAAGGGATGAGAAGAAGAGGACGATGACGAGGAAGAAGAGAAAGAGCAAGGAGAAGATCCGTTACTTTGATAAGGTCGAGCGTGTGAGGACAGAGAGCGATGGTTATTCGACTGTGATACAAGGGTTAATTATTCTCATCTTCGCGGTCCGAGAGGTGGCGCGCGTTATTCCAAGAGACGGAGGACTTGTCGCTCGGAAATAATGCTGAGGAAATCCCCTTCCGACCTAGGCCAGTTCTTCTATCCAAGTACAGAAGCTTCGCGCATATCGAATATATATATAATATAATATTTTACTTGAGATTAATGCGAATAAACGTATTACTTTCTTGACAATCGAACGAGTTCCTTGCCCTACCTCGAGAGTTGTCTTTAACTCGGATAAATCGTTTCTTCCACTTTCGATTTCTCGCCCAACTACGTCATTTGTCGGCCTCAACATCTCGCCGGGAGAAGAGCGATCGCTCCGGGGGTGCGACAACGAGATTTCGCGATCGATCGATCGTCTCGGTGAATCGCACGAAGAAATCGATGTTGCTGTTGTGAACGATGGTAAACGGTTTGTCGTTTGATTTCAGTCGAAACTGAACTGCGAAGTTCTGGAGGACAGACTGGCTTTTGAGGTGCGATGGGCCGTGGCCGGAGACAGCATAGTCGCCCAACTCGTTGGAAAACTTGGTGAGTATATATTTCCAGGCTGTCCGCGTGTACGTCTCGCAAAGGAACAAAACTTCTATCGCATTTATCGAAAGCGGCGTGAATTTATACCTGCCGAGACCGGCGAGCCCGAGATCCGACCCAACTTTTAATTAACCACACTTTAACCATCCTCGCACCGTTCCACGGATAATACGCTATTTTATCTTCGCAATGCGTTCGTCACCTTCGTACACGCTATTCGACAACGATTACACGCCCCATTTACATCGTATCCGTCAAATCTAATCTCTCTTGCGGAAAAAGAGTCGGATAAGAGTTACGTTTCACGCTACGTTTAACGCGCGGTCCCGGTCCGAACGAGCTGCTCGGTAAATTAGGTAAATCATACACCTGTATCTTCGTTCCAGAGGATGGACAGTACATGGCGTTCGGAATATCCGCGAATCCCGAGAGAAGCCTAATGATCGGTGGAGACGTGGCAGTGGCCTGGGTCGACAAGCAAACTCTTCAGGGCTACGCTGTCGATTACTTTTTGGAGGCAAAGTCTCAATGCTCCGGTGGACGGGGTAGCTGTCCTGACACTCGCATAAAAGTTAGTCGCTTTCGCCTTTACGCTTTCCCGATCGCACCTATCCTTTTGTCACCGACCGGTCGCTACGTTCGGATCTTGTTGCGTGGTTTACATTGAATTTCCTCGGCCGAATTGGCGCTTTGCAGGAGAACACGAATTCCATTCGATTGTTGAACGCGGCGCTGGTGGACGGATACAGCATTGTCACGTATCAGAGATCGCTAAAGGCGAGCGATGAACTGGACCATCAAATCCTGACGAACGGCTCGCAAGCGATCATCTGGGCCATCGGCCCACTAAACGAGAGGCAAGAGGTCAGCTTTCACACCGACTATCTGAAAACCGATCGTTTCATCGATTTCGGTAGACCGCCGGTTTGGAATTGTCCCGTTCCAGATCACGAAAACTCTCAGATATTACCGAGCAGCAATGGCGACAAGGACGATGGTATTAATGAGGTATTTTATCACGTATCGAACATTCCTCGCTCGATGAACGGGCAGTGAACGCGGAACACGTGGGAATCTGGTATATTCGCATAGGTGACGAATGTGATTTTATTGAACAGCAATCGGTCGTAACTCCGAAAAGACCACCGCGTATACCTGCGACTCCTGCACCGGCACCTAGAGACGACGCTTGGGATATTCCACCCATCCAGTGCGACGAACCCGAGGATGGAGTGTTATACGCTCAGATGGGACCCACCGGAGGAAAACACGGATATCCCGCTATCACCGGTACAAAACGTGGCTGTCAGGAATGCGAATTTGCAAGCGGTATGTAAACCGGAACGATTCACTTTTCTCAGGTCACGTTGGTTGGGGTATCTCGTGGTACATAAACGGCCTACTAATTCCCGAGATCAACGTCGTCCGTGGGAAGAAATACACTTTCGTGGTGGAAGGTGGGGAAAATCCCGATACCCCGGCTCGTTATCATCCCTTCTACATTACCGATGACCCGATCGGTGGATATCAACACAAGACGCCGGAGGAGAAAGCCGTAAGCTGACTTTCTCTTTTCGCGTACGTGAAATTGATAACTCGGTTGACAGTGCGAACGTAAAAGTGATTTTCTTGGTAAACAGAAAGTGAAAATATTCGCGGGCGCCCAACGTCAACGCGGAGTATATCGACCTACGGGTGTCGGACGTCTTTGCAACTGGGTGCCCGATCAGAATCAACCTCTAGCGGACGAGTTCTCGTCGTTCGGTGCTTATCAGCGCACATTGACTCTCGAATGCGACCAGGGAGAACCAGGCTTCGTGGAATGGACCCCGGACGAAGACACGCCCGATACCGTGTACTACCAGGTAAGTCGATGCGATCATTTGTACGGAGAACGAATTAGAAGGTGCACTCACGCGTGTCGATGAATATTCAGTGTTACACGCATCGTTACCTGGGCTGGAAAATAAACGTTCACGACAGCTGCGATACCAGCGAAGCTGCTGGCAGCGAGAATCACGAGTTTTTCGTCAATCCGAAGAATCAACGTCCTATCGAGGACCTCCAGAGTAGCTCCAGCATTCGCGTGTCGAGCAAGGTAACACCAACAGCGGAGTTCCTTCAGCAGCATCCTCATCATCTTCATGGTGAACCCGGGCTTCGTTACTCTTATCATCCAGCGACTAACCCCGACAAGCTAAGCACGTCATACACGCAGTTACTAACGACCGCTAATAACAACAATTACGTACGCTTGAAATCGTCGCCGTACGAGTACGAGGAACCGTTCACTTCGAAACCTTCGTACAGCACGCCAGGTCTCGGCGTTGCGCCTCATCGTCACGAGGTACGCGTGAAGGAAACGCATCATATGCACGTCGACGGGGATCTCATGCAGCAGCATCACAACCACCATCATTATCATCAACAGCTCGCACCGATTTATCGCGAACAATCGATGGGAGTCACCAGACTGACCTCCTCTTACCCTGGCCGGCAACAAATCATGGAGATCCAGCCGGAGCTCCTTCGGCAACCCTCTAACCAGCAATTGTCTAACCTCGTTGCAGATAATCCACGACCACTGAGCCATGGGACGAAACACGCTTACCCGGCTACCGCCAGTCCACAGATCCTATATTCCAGGCCGGTACCTCACCATTACGCCACCAATTACCACCATCTTTATCATCCACCCCTTCCCCATCATTATCATCACCATCAGCCGGACCAAAGGACACAGCTGATGTTCGTCAAGAGACCGGTGTTGACACGTCGACCGATGTTGCAGACCGCCCATACGATGCCCCAGCCCACCCTTCCCCTACCGCCCAGATCGGTCTTCATGGAACGCAAGAAGACCGTCTACAGACCCTCCTCCTCGACTTATGGAAGGAGAACAGCCGACAGACTTTCCCAAGGCAACGATAACCTTCAGATCGCGAAGCTGAAGAAGGTCGATTCGAAGCAACGAGCCAAACTAGAGACCAAAGTGTCGAACTTGGACATTCCCAATATCTTCGTCACACCTATGAAACCCGCCAGGAACACGGGATTCAATCCAGACTCGATAGTGATCGAGAGCGGCTTTAAACCCATCATTAGAAGCGTCGAGAAATCAGAGGACGTGGCTCAGAGGAGAATCTCGGAAAGGATCGAGGAAGAAGAAGAGCCGCGCGTTCAGGAAACTAACCGTAAACCGATCGACAACTTCGAGCCAGTTTTCATACCTTCTCCGCCCGTGCCGACAGTCGCCACGATCAAGAAATCAAAGAAGAAAACCACGAATGCTAAACCGCGTCCGAGCGAAGCGGATGATATGGAAATGGCTGCCGACAGAGTAAATGCTTATTACTTGCCACCGCATCCTAGCTCGCTTTCCAACGAACCTCCACCCTCGCCCTCGCCGTCGGCCGAGGTACTGATCACCTTCGACGGAAAAATGTTAAAGGATTCCAGCTTGGTCAGGTCCATTTCCGGCATCGAGGAACACTCCAAGAGCAAGCTTTCCTCCGACATTCTCAGCAGAACGCCGCAGTTCGGCAAATTTAAAGGGGAACTACCTCCACCGATTCCCGGCGAGGCGATTCGATCGGATCATTCTCAGCTCGAGAAACGTCGTCTCCCGTCGTCGGATCTATCGGTACCCCCGGTACGAACAACGAAAAATACCAGGCTGAGACTCGTCGAAAGATCGAAGAGATCCCCGCACGAGGGACACGTACACGTTGCGGATTTTCGCGCGAATAGCTCCGAAACCAATTACCACGACAATCACGATCATCGCGATCACCATGGCCATCGTGAAAATTCAATCTCTACGCTTGTCAACGCCGGTCAATCGATCATAGCTAACTTCGGATACATACTTTTGGCCGTAATCGTTTACCATGTCGTTTGATAAAGTTACTTCCGATTGCGCAAGATCGTTGAAATAACCCGATCATTCGGACTTCGTTTGGGAACAGAAATCAAAGGATGCTGGATGGACTTGTAAATCACTTGGAATGGTTAGTTGACTGAATTACGGCTGACACGTCATCGTCGCAATCTTTCAATCTAGAAACACTTCCACATGCGAATGCGCGTAATGTACGTGACTTTTGCTGATAGTAGACGATGTAATCGACACGATAACACGGGAGAGGAATATAACTAACCACGAAATAATGATTCTTCTTTTTTCTCTTTTATTTATTCAGCTATTTATTAACGAATTACTGTCTCTTATTGTACGAGGAAAGTGTCTAACCTTTATTGCAGTACCAAACCATCTGTGCCAGTTATCGAAGAAATCAGCTCGATAACTGACACGACCCGTCGAATCTCCAGTTTTATAGCTAGAACGTAAAACCTTGGCTATTCGAAGAAACGAGAGTCAACATTTTTAACGTTCGAGGTGCAAGATGGAATAATAAGGAACAGATTGTATTATTCTGTGTGCTATGGCGGCAGTTTGTTGAATCTTAAGGTATCATATATTTGTAAATAAGTTAAATTAATTGTTAATAAAGATTGTACAATGGAACAAGGTGTGGAGAGATTTCGAGGATTTCTTTGGATTTCGAGAAAACAGCGGATCGAGACAAAGGACCTTGACTAACTTGCAAACGTATCCCTATCGGAGTAGCCATCTTCGTGTTCACAGGAATTGTTTGTTAACGACGGGAAATTCGAGGTAGACAGGCAACAGACATTAAGCAATATTTTATTGTATAGAAAAAGAAAACAAACAAATCTTACAAAACAATCAGCACACTAACTACTGTACACGATCGTATAGTTATAATATAAAGAGCGTACAGGCGACGCGATCAGTCGGTCGCTAATTACTTCGAAAACAATTGTCGACTGGAATAAGGTAAGCAAGGATACAGTGTTTTTCGTGAACATTCGCACCTTCTCCGATAAAATAGGAGACTGCTGACGAATCTGCACCTGCATTCGCAGTCGGCGTACCATTAAAAATCCCCTTTTAAGTAGCCATCGATGGCACGCGACGCAATTCCCCCATACAAGATTCTTACAAATTTTCCTGGCAAAACTGGCGTCGGGATTCCTCTAATTACTTTCCGTTTAATAACCATAATTAACGTGAACCGAAGCAGTGAATAATTTCAGACCCTATTCGTGATTATCGAGACGATCGATTTCACGCGTACCTTTTCGCTTCAATTTCTGCCTGTACTTCGATTTTCCTTCAATAAATCAAACATTTCTTCTATAGCAATGCCAATTTCTTTACAAGTACAGCCAACTTACACGTAAGTGACCGTTTAAAAGATCGTAAAACTTCATGATTCCGAACGTGAACAGATTGCTTCCTTCAAATATAATTTGACTCGCTCTTACCTTAAAAGTAATACGGCGTTTACGAGCATGAACTTCATCGTACTTGTTATTACATTTATATCGTTATTACATATCTAAGTTGACGATGTATTTACATATGTTACACGATTCCTTTCCTACTTAATGATACGAGTCTATGATGTTCCTTTCAACGGAACACTGAGTGTTTACGATAAAAGCAACACTCCACTCTGATTCTAACGATCACACGAATACGGTTAAACTCCATGGTCGAAGAAACTCGATTCGAATAAATACAAACACCGGCTGTTCATTACTTCGATCATACGTTCGTTTCTGTTTTGAGCCTATGAGCAACGTCATTCATTGCATTACTCGATTTGGAAATTGAGCGAGTGCTTCGCTATTTTAGGATTAAAGTCACGTCGATCTAGAGTTTTTCGTTTCATTAATAGTCGCGAGAAGGCCTCGTTTCTCGGTGAGCAACGACACGAGTTCGATACACTGAATAATCAGCTGATGATTACTTGAAATTTCGAGTACTTATTACACTAGTCACGCGATACGCAGCTAAGAAATTTAATACTAACGATAACGCCAAGGATAGTGATTCAGCGAGGTTGATTTTCTTTGCATAATAACTTCATTCTATGGTATTACCTCTTTTTCTTCCCTTAGATCCTAACTGACGGCTGTTGCAAATGATACACAGAGACGAAGGCTTTAATATTTTCCTGCGATACCTTTCAAATCAGCTTATGATATATATATATATATATATACATACATATATGTATATTCATCGAAAATTTTGATCGTTGCTTCGATCATTACCAAACAAAACGTATAGATTGGAAATGTATAATTAATCGAAGTATCGGTATTGTATTTCCAAATTTGCAAATGGTAATGCGATCGCCATTGTTCTACGAAAGAATGTATATTTCAGTTGACGGAATGTTTTCGGCGTTTTTGCTCCTACCGTGTTAATAGCAACATAAACGTAAAGTACTCTGCCATGAACTTATTGAAATGTTTCACAATGAAAAAGTACCTCTATCGTTAGTAAAAATACTATACTTGCATGATCAGTTTTCTAAATGTGCGAGATGAATTAATCGAACGGTGCTTAAAATAACGTCATGACTGTTTCCTTTTTAAATTGCTAATGAAAGATAATCATATATATATATATATATATATATA